GGTTCAGTTAGGTTTAGGACACCTATCATAAGGGGCGTACATATTTCCGTGTCTTACAGAGGTTACTTTTGAATATCTTGACGACGGCATCTACTGACTTTCCTCAAGCTGACTTTTTCAAAAAAAATTGGTAAGACGTGCTTATTTAGCCGCACCTGATGGACACAATACTGTTGACCTACTTAATTATTTTGAGTTGGTGTGATTATGTTGGCATGATGTTGCTGTGCGTTTTCTGTTGGCGGCCTTGTTTCTTTGTTGCCGTGCCTACCTTTTTTGGCCCAATGTCGGTGGTCCTTCTTGACTTTCGGCCTGTCGTCTCCTACCAATTTTCGCAATGGATGTTTCAGGGTTAGGGTTTAGAGCTGCGGTTAAGGGTTAGGGGTAAAGGGTCAGGGTTGTGTTAGGGTTTAGGGCTTGGGGTTAGGGGTTAGGGTAAGGAGCGACGGTAAAGGGTTATGGCTAGGGTCTAGGACTAGGGGTTAGGGATTAGGGTTAGGGCAACTATTTCCCGGCCACTTAAAGTACAACCGCGCATTCCCAAAAGGTTTTCTTTTGCGTACAAATTACTTGACTTCGTCGTCTGCGCGTTCCCCGACCCCACCTGTAAAAACTCCGATTATTACCCGTCCCGTATTACAGGTGGCTGGGGTTTGCTTACCTCAGATTGGGCTACATAACCACATCTGATCAAAAAAATAAAAACTAAAGTTTGCTCATCGAGGTAAGGAAAACATGACTGAACTCAAGAAAAGTTATAAATACGAGTTAGAGGGGCAAAACATGTACATCTTAATTGCTTTGCAGGCAGCAACGTTTCTCAGAACAAAAGCGTAAAAAAGAAACATTTGCAAGGTCCTGGAAACTCTAGTTTCTTGATTAGTCATATATCCTCCCTAGCTTAAAAAATATGTATATCTGAAGATTCACAAAGAATCACATCCAAAAGATCGCACGAAATGATTCACAAAAGGACCGATGCACGCAAGCTAAACGTGATCATTCGGCGCAAAGTGAGGAGGCTGAATGACTTGTTGCCATGGTAAAACGCCTGGAGTCGTTGAGCGGACCTGAGACAGTTGCGAGAAACTGTAGCGGCCGAAGACGTTGAGAGAAGCGCACACGGGACAACCTAAAGCACGGAAGGTAACTGCTGACTTAGTGCTAACTAAAGGAGGTAGCTAGACGCGCATCATTCTTATGATGAAATGAATGCCTGCTTGAAATACTTTTCTTAGCGGCGCCAAATCCACACGGCAAAACCAACTACAAATTTGCGTGTCCAGCTGCAAAACCACCCATCAGTTGAGGTATTCTAACACTAACTGGTGGCAATTGGGAGTGCAACGGAGTCCGTTTATCCAACTACAAGAAGGATTTCCCTACGTCTTAGCCTCGGCAATTTAGTGTCCTCAAAAGAGGAATTGGTTGAAAAGGTGTCTTCCACTATTCAGACCACTTTCAACAATCACGACTGATCGAGCGAACGAGCCACTCTTCCGGCCAAAAACAAACACGTGTACCATCTTCACCATATTATTCAGTCTAAGATTCATAGCGAGGCAGTCGCATATACGTCCGTCGACACTGTTGTGGGCGCAGACGAGGCAGGTTAATTATCCAACAGAGATTTTGAATTCACCCGAGCCACAGCAACGCGTGGCCGGACCCAGCTAGTGATTTATAAGGCATAAGACGCGTGCAAATTAAATTGATTCCGTCGGGATTTCTTTACCAAATATACCCACAGATCCCACAGATATGCCGGGCACATAATTCACTAGACTAATTTTTGGCGAATTACCACGATCAGGTACGTGGGTCACTACTTATTTACAATGACCACGTTTAATCAGAAGAAATATAACCGAGGAAATAGTAACTTTGCAAATGTAGGTTATTTACTCTTAAGTCAAACTGACAGATAAGCAGATGACATTTTTGAGGAAATGAATGTTGACAAATACAAGGGAGACTGAGATGGTCATTTCTGGCTTATTAACCGTCGTCAACCAGTCATATGAAAACCCCAGGTCAGGATGATCTGGGATGGATGACATTTAACTAGTCAACGCTGAATGACCAGAGAACCCCTATTCTGGTCCCATGTGATCCGGACCTGAGGATGGGTGTGGCTGTCTGGCGACGACCAATAAGTCAGAAACGGCCGTCCCAGTCTCCCCTTTCTTTGTCGGTGACATTCTACATATATCACCGAACGATACGCGACTTCTTGCGAGGGTTCTACATTGGACCCAAAGTCGCAACGGGACGTAGACATAACGTAGCCTGATCGCTTAACGCATTCAGCTTGTACATCCTGAGGATAGGGTTGACCATCTTGGTATGAAGGAAGTCGTCTACAAGATCTCATGCGGTGCCTGCAATGCGTAGATTGTGGTCAAACGGGAAAATCCGCCTCTGCCTGAATCTACGAGCATCAGCTGGCAGGTAAGAGGCGAGACCATCCGTCCCAAGTGCTTATGAACACCCTAAATATCGGGCACACTTTAGACTGGGATAAAGCTCAGATCGACGGCGTCTATCCTACCAGAAAAAGCCGAGAGTTTTTCAAAGTCATACATTCGGGTGAGCCAGTACTTGATCAGCATATTGAGCTAGATGCCATGTACAAAATCGCAAGGAAATTGAGAGAAACGAGAACCAATCGATACACGATGACGCACACGGCGGCCAGTTACAGGAGTAAACACCGAGTAAGTATCGATTTTTAGACAGGTTTGATATGCTATCTGTTACGGCATATTAAACGTCTGACGATGACATGAGAAACCAGGATCAAAAATTTACCCAATAAAGTTTCCTACTTTTCCCAAGGAACGTATATGACTTCAAATTATATTTCTTGGGATGCCTTTTATTGTAAAAAAACTCGAGGGAAATCGAGTCACCCAGTAGTATGGTCCATTTACAAAGGCTTTAGAAATACATAATATGACAATAATATACTTACAGATGTTTTGAATGAAGCAGGTCCTTACGTTTAGTATTTCTTTTCCGAAATACAAAGTTTCAAACCAAACAAGATCCCGAGCGCGGGCATCTTGGAACGCACCACAATCCTCAACAGCAACTTTAGCAGCACTGTACGGTCGCCTCGCGAGGATAGATGACGACGGATTACCCAAACGATGCTTCTTCGGCGACGTTGCTACGGGTGCTCCCGACAAGAAGGGTAAAAACGACGCTACAAAGAAGCTCTACGAACCTTCCCCAGGGGATTACGGATTCATTCGGAGACCTGGGCGGACCTTGTCAATGATCGACCGATCTGAAGGGGAGGAGTAAAGACTGGAGCATAGATCTACGAAAACAAGAGGATGGCAGCTCCCAAAGCCAAAAGAGTGGCTTGCAAGTCGCAAGCGCCGTGGTCCTAAGACCCAAATCACCCTCTCGAGCCAATGCTGTCAGTGGGCATTCTGCGCACGGATTGGCCGCGTCGGATAACCTCGGACAACTGTACCTACTGCATCCGACAACGCCTCACTGTCACCCTTCCAGCGACCCCCACGACGACGAACACCACCACCGCTGAACAAATTCCCGACTTCCAGCCGCCCATTATCACCATAATTCACGCCCCAGCGGCAACGGCGACTACCATCACCCCCACTTCCACCACCGTCGGGAACACTCCCAACGTCCTACCACCCACCACAACCGCTCCCACCACCAACGACGCAGACTCGACCCGAACCCATCCCCACTGCGAGCGCACCTTCACACCACGCATCGGCCCATACGTCACTTGAGAATCCAACTACCTGAGACTGGCGAACCAGTACCAGGAGAACCAACATGCACCAGGTGCCCACACTGCCCACGAGCATTCAATCGCCGCATGGACCTACCTGGTCATATGCGACTTCATGAAAATCCTCGGTAGAACACTGAACATCAAATCCCATCACCACTCGTTTTCTCACTGGTCGCACACAAGACATACAATAGGTGGGCTAACTAGTGAAATGTCCACTGAAATTCCGAAATGTGTTTTCGTTCCGAAAAGACCAATTAAGTAGGGCTGTAAAACTAGCCGGCCTGCAACATAATTCTATAATAGTTCAGTTACCTCAGGATGCCTGCTTTCGAATGAACTTCCTTTCGGCTGCATGCAAAAATTACACGCTGTAAAAACCGACTACCTAAGTAGCATGAATTTTTCTCAATTATTTTCAATGTCCCTGAAAATGCAATCATGGTTCATGGAAAACATGCATAAAAATATTCACTCTTTTGTTCATTCGGTAGAAAATTACGTTTTCTTCCAAATGTATACTGGAAGTTGGGATATAATTCGGTTTTTAAAAAGTTTCTAGTTGTGGGGCTTTTAAATACCGTGAAATGGCCATTCATAAATCGTCATGACTGCATTTACCGATGTGGCTTATAAACTTAACAATACGGATCAATTCCACCGCTACATTTTATGAAACCTATATGGCCTCCCTTTATTACCGTAGAGAAATGTATGGTTTTCCATAAGCGGAAAATATACGGTTTGTAGTTTGGAAACCCTGAATCGAAGTGTAACGGTAGAGCGGGCTCAAAAACTATTCGGGAAGTGGAAACTTTTCAAAACCTAATTATGTCCCTCCTTAGAGTACAGGATTGGAAGAAGACATCATTGTCTACGAATGAGTAAAAAATGAATATTTTGGTGCCTGTTTTCCATGAAATATAATTGAATTTTTAAGGACACTGAAAATCAATGGGAAAAATTGATGATATAAAAGTAGTTGTTTTTTACAGAGTGTATTTCCCACATCCAACCAAAAAGGAATTCGTTCGAAAGCCGGCATTCTGAGGTAGCTGCATTGTGATAGAACTATGCTGCATAACGATTAGTTTTAAAACCCTACTTAATTAGTCTTTCCGAAACGAAAACGCATTTCGAAATTTCGGTGGATATTTCATGAGTTAGCCCACCTACTGTAAACTCGCCCTACATAGCCCACCGCATGCACAGAATAGGAACCTCCAGTCTAAGTGAGAAGCGCGTCATTTGACGCAAGCTGGTGCCCAAACAGATCGCGTGCGGCACGCGTGGCCTGGCCCCAGTGGCTATGTGTCAGTCATTGTACCCAGTTCCAACACCAGATGGCCGACAGGCTCGGACTGTCGACCAGCATCTGGGATATGCAAGATGCTGTGAGGCCGACTCTGAGGAATTCGTCTCCACGAGACCCATTGGTCCATTGTGCGCGGACCAGACGTGCGACACGTGTGGGCGGGCCGATCCCGCCTCCAGTTGCCCTTACTCAGTATTTCCACCGGGTTCGGGTGGGAGGAGGACAAGAGAGTACGCTAGATGCAGCGCAAGTCTGCTATCATTATAGACTCATTCACGTAGATGTCGCCGTCGAGCGTCAGGCGTGCTGCAGGAAACACGGTTGACATTGCCATTCGTGGCGGGCAATCAGATTGAACTACAGTAGATTGGCCAACTCATGAAGTGTCAACCGAAATACCGAAATACGTTTTCGTTTCGAAAATACTAATTAAGTAGGGTTGTAAAACTAACAACTGTGCAGCGTAATGCCATGCTAATTCAGTAACCCCAAGATATCGGCCTTCGAACGAACTTCTCGTCGGCTGCATTCGAGAGATACACTCTGTAAAAAATTACTATCTAAGTAGCATGAATTTTTCTATTTGATTTTCAATGCCCCTAAAAGTCCAATTACACTTCATGGAAGACATGCGTAAGGATATTCATTCTTTTGCTCATTCAGTAGAAAATTACTTCTCCTTTCAACTTTATAGTCGGAGGATTGGTAATATTTGGTTTTCAAAAAGTTTTCCACTTCCCGAATAATTTTGAAGCAGCTTTGCCGTTACATTTGGATTCAGGGGTTCCAAACTACGAACCGCGTTTTTTCCGCGTACGGAAAACCACACATTTCTCTACGGTATTAAGAGGAGGCCATATTGGGTTCATGAAATTTAGCTATGGATTTGAGCCGTATTGGTAAATTCAGAGACAATGCGATTTATGAATGGCCATTTCACGGCATTTAAAAGTCTCACAATTAGAAAATTTTTAAAAACCGAATTACGTCCCTCCTTCGAGTATAAAATTGGAAGGAGACGTAATTGTTTACTTAATGAGCAAAAGAATGAATATTTTTATGCCTGTTTTCTATGAAATATAATTGGACTTTTAGGGGCATCGAAAATCAATTAGAAAATTTCATGCTATATAAGCAGTCATTTTTTGTAGGGTGTAATTTTTGCATGCAGCCGGAAGGAAGTTCATTCGAAAGCCGGCGTTCTGAGGTAATTGAAATATTACAGAATTCTGTTGCAGGCTGACCAGTTTTACAACTTAATTAAACGAAAACGCAATTCGGAATTTCGGTTAACATTTCATGAGTTAGCCCACTTACTGTATGTAAGGGGCAGGAAACAAGCTTTTTTTCAGGAAGTGTGAGACGGAAGAGATTTGAATGGCATAGTTTCTGTCGTCAGTTCGTCAGACCTCCGTCTCCGACGCAGAGGACCTGAGTTTTAAACTAGGATCCTGCTGTTTACCTAGCCACAACCTCTATCTGCGACGGCTGCAATCAGTCATTTAACCTCTGATTGGTGTTCGTCATCCCTACATGGCTTCGGGAGAGACCACAGGATCTGTAAATTAAAACAAACGACGCATTTTTTGTCCAGAATTGGGGAGAGACCATTGAACTCCACCCTTTCGTGGAAGGGGCCATATAGTAGACTATATGCCCTAGGAATTTCTGGAAGCAAGCTGGCAAGACAACGGTATAAGACTGCCTCTTGGATCAATTCTCCCACATTCCTACTCGTGGGTTTCTCCTTCAACCATGACAGAAAGAGAGCCAGTCGTTTTAAATAAATTTTCGCACAACTTACCTGCTCCTGCTGATGTGAACCAGGCTGCATTTTTAAAAGGAGAACTGACTCTCTGTAGCAGATCTACTCTGGCCATTTGTGGCTTGTTAGCCGTCATAAGCCAGTCATGCCGAACCCCGAGGCGGGCAATACCTGGGACTCGATCCCGCGACCTGTTGGTAGAAGTCCAACGCCCCTAACATTTGAGCCACGGCTTCGTGGTCCTGTAGGCTGCGGTCGGGTATATACGATGATAGAGGGGCATTCAATGATCGCGCTACGGAACTCACTCGTCCCAACGTGCCTTGAGGCTCTGTCCCTTTCGAGAAAGAGCTAGTGGGGCTCGAGTGAGAGTTCCAAGGCACAACAGGACGACTGCGTTTCTTAACGCGATCGGTGGGCGCCCTTCTACTACTGTATATGTCCGATCGCAACCGACAGGACAACGAGCTCGTGGCTAAGTGGTTGGGGCGTCGGACTTCTAGCTAACAGGTCGCGGGATCGAGTCCCAGGTGTTCAACGTCTCGGATATGGGTGTGACTGGTTGAAGAGAGCTGATAGGCCAGAAATGGCCAACACAGTCTCCCTTGCCTGTTAATAATGCTATTCCAGCCATATTACGCGCCACTGTGCGGTTGCTGGTGGGGATCGAGAAAGAGCCCCAAGGCAAAACTGGACAGATGAGTTGCGTACCGCGATCGGTAAACGCTCTTCTACCAGACCTAGTCTGCTGCTAATGTTTTAGGTGGCTTGGTTAACCAACTATTTCCAAGGCGTTAGATACAGAAAATCAAACAGAAATTTAAATGACTTGCTGAGCCAGTCTGTTCTGGGCCGATAGATTTTCTGCTTAGTTTGCTGGGTGAGTTATTTTGTCCGACTTTGTGCATTTTATGCCTTCAAAATGGTAAGCCGACAAAGGCTTCCAAATAATCAGCAGCAAAGTATGTGGGTCTAGGCAAGCCACTTCTCTGGCTCAAATTACGGCCCTGTAACTCTTAACGTTGCCAACTTCGGACTACACGGGCCGGATACCGCGACGTCTTCTCGTAGCCGTAGGTGGAATCCCAGTGCCGAGAAATCTGAATGACAACGACAGCCTTGCCTCGCGACATTCTAATAATAACAGAAACGCTGGCGAATTGACTGCCAGATTCCGGCCTGTGCCCATAAACTGTCCTTGTGTAAGCATCCCGTGGGCCCAACCAACCCTTGCTAGCAACCACGCAGATCGCCAATGTGCTGGCAACCGACCCCTTTTCCCTTAACCGCCTACACACGCATACCAGCGTGGGTTGGGCACTACATCACAAGCCGTATTTCGCAAATTTAAACTGCGCACCGACTTGTCCGGGCTTGGTCGAAAATTCTGTACCGAGACGACTGACCAGCGCTCATTTTTAAAGGCGACATGATCCAGGGTAGTGAATAGCATAGTTCATGAATTATTCAGTATATATGTGCCTGCATTAAATTACGTGGTTTGGACGTGGTCTGGATGCATGTTAACGAAATTTCCGCCCTGCAGTGAGTGTGCACGCACTTTTCTGCAGCGTTGGCTTTCCACTATGGATATAAAGGGGTGTCATTCTTACCAAACAGTAGGTGTGCTAACTCTTGTAATGTTGACCAACATTCTGAAATGCATTTTCGACTCGTAAAGATTGCGTATGTGGGGTTGTAATACTAATTATCGTGCAGAATAATTCTATAATAATTTAACTACTTCAGGATGTCGGCTTTCGAATGCACTTCTTTCTGTTCGCCTGCACAAACTACACTCTGTAACAAATGATTACTTATGTACAGTAGGCGGGCTAACTCATGGAATGTCAACCGAAATCCTGACTCGCGTTTACGTTTCGAGGGGATTATTTTGGTAGGGTTTTGAAACTAA